GCACTTGTTTTCGGTCAAATTGTAAGTAAAAATAGTAGGCCTGATGAGTTCATCATTCAACATTACATCTACTCCTCTGAGAATAACATTGAAAGGCTTGTCAAATGTGACGGTTATAATAGAATTCCATCAACTCCATATTATGACTTCTGTAATTTTGCTATGGCAAAACACAAAGTTGTCCAAGTTCTCATTACACTAAAATCCGCTAAAATAGTATTCATCAACTTAGACACATCTTGCATGAAATTACTAGAGTAGCACAATCTCATTCTATCTGTGTTATACCCAATACTCCTCCTCTTTCTCAAAATCTTATTGAACAAATCTTTCCTAATTTCTCATATCAAAATCAACTGCGATCTATTAATTCAGAAGTTTCTACCTGTAAATTTTTGTCATTTTACACAGACGGTTCTCTCTCTGCTTCAAAAACTAATCAATGTAAAATGGATATTGGTTAGATCTGTCATACTGATTTAAATTTATAATTAATGTTTAATGCCTTCATTAATTATTGGCCCTCCTCAACTCGAACTGAAATCTTCACTATTCTCTCAGCTTTAGTTATCTCCCCCAAATACTCAACTATACAGATTTATACTGATAGTCAAGCTACCATTCATGGCTTTCACTCTCACATTCATTTTCTACAAGAACTAAAGAAATATCAGCCAACTACACATTATGGTATCTCATTCAATATATAATGGAATCTTCTGAACTCTAAGTTAATCTTTATAAAGTTAAAGCTCATAATGGAGACTTCTCTAATAATATAGCTGACTCACTAGCTAAAGCTGATCATGATCTTCCTTCCTTATCTCCTTTCCTTGTTCATACTTCTAGATTATCTCTGATTTTCGCTTTCAATAATATTCCTATTGAATCTTCTATTTATTAATTTTTCAAGAATCTTTTCTCAGCTGAAAACTTCTCAGCTTTTTTAGATCTTAATAAGAATGATCACATTAATACTCATAGTAATTTTCACTGGCCTCTTATTTGGCAATTCTTCACTCTTAACTCCTTTTCCTTATCAAAATCCTTTGAAACTTCATGACTCAAATCCTTTATTATCAAAACTTTTGTTAATGAACTTCCTACTCTCTCTCGATTAGAACAATTAAGACCTGATCTGTATAAAAATTAGTGTTATGTTGGTTGTAATATTACCACTGAAACTTCTACTCATATATGATCTTGTTCAGCCTACTCTACAATTATCAACAATATTATCTCACAAACTAAAGATCTTTTATTAACTGATTTGAAAAAACACTCCAACCCTAATTCTTACTATGATGCTTTACCTGAATTACTCTGTTCCTATGATGAACTCTTTGCATCCCCTTCTTTCTCAACAGATGGATTTCTAAATATCATTTGATACCAACTTCCCAGTGAATTCATTTCACTTATTCACAAAATTACAAAGAATAAGAATAGTTGCTATACAACTATA